GTTAAGTACATTGAGAATAATTGAGGGGGTGATGAATAGCACATAATATGAAGATCTCCTGAAAGTTCATATTCTCCCAACAATGGAAGAACTTTACCATGGAGATGGTTTGTTTCAGGAAGATAAGTCCACCTGCCATACATCGAAAAAATGTAAAAATCTTTTGAAAATACGGGTGCAAAAAGTGTTGGACTGGCTAGGAAATTTCCTTGACCTGAACCCCATTGAAAACTTGTGGAGTATTGTGAAGCAACGACTGATAAAACACAACTGTACCACCATGGAGAAGCTAATCTGTACGGTCATTTAGATATGGTATCACAATGAAGAACTGGGCTACATGTGTCTGAAACTGGCCGAATCTATGCCAAAACGTGTCGAAATGCTCATTGAAATTAGAGGCAGACATACAAAATACTGATTTGTGATATTTTAAAACAGTTATGTAAAGCTTTTTAGGAAAAAATAAACATAATTTGATAATGTCATTTCTCTATTTTATTGAAGTCACTGTCCCAAATAATTCGCACAGTATTGTATTTACGGTGGAGTAATGAAGAGCAGCTCGCATTGAGGAATCGGAGAGCCGAGTTCAAATTCTAGTCGAAACCATTACATTCATTTACGTGCTAATACCCTTAGGAAATGTATGAATTCTCTTCTTCTCCCCCCAGCTATGGGTAAATAGCAGGACAGACCGGAATCTATAGCCTTGGATGGCAACTTGTCTACCGCAGAAAGAAATGATAACCTACTGCGGGAAAAATCTACCTCGTCAGTCATGTATCCAAAGTGTATCACGTATGGCACATAACTGACTGGCCGTATTTAATGTGCAGTCCCTGATGTGGCGGATCATGACTGCGGAGGGCCATGACTTCACATTTTCCAGTTTTTCGTTGCTCCTAACAATGCTTTTCTTTACAACTTTCTTTTTGTGACAAATGTTCCTCTATCAATTTACTCATTACTTGTCTCTACGTCTGTTGCTTTCGCTGTGTCCCGTGAATGTTAAATTCTCCAAGCACTCTTTCATCATTATGTGTCAAAAAATATTTTCAAATTTCTTTTCTGATTATTAACAACAATTTCTTTATAGCTCCTATTCTCCTTCGAACGTCCTCGCTTGTCGCATGATCTGTCCATGGTATTCTCAACATTCATTGGTAGAGCTCCATCTCCGTTACTCCAAGTCCTTTCTTTATTTATGACGAAATTGTTCAGTATTCATTGCTATATAGGCGGGTAAAAATAGCCGCGCAACACTCTTTTCTTCGTTTTAAAACGTATTTTTCAATTACTTTGTATCGTATTTAGTTTTTCAAAAATATCTTAATGCAAAAAATTTTAAATTTTTATTTTCAAATATAACATTCGTATTCAGGGTTTCGCACAACGAGAATATGTAAAATGAGGTATACTTGTAATTCTTCTCTTATGTGCGTTGTACTTTCAAGAAATGGGGTATCGTAGCTCTCCACAACTTCCTATATTTTGTTGCTTTAAGTAACTTTTGATTCTTTATCATCTCACTTTGCCCATGTTTTGCCATCTCTTCGCATGAATTCGTTAAGCTGCTCACCCGCTTCGCTCGCTTTCATTGTGTCCTATGAGTGTTAAATTCTCCAAGCCTTCTTTCTCCATAGTGTCCTAGAAACTCTCTCTCTCTCGCTCTCTCTCTCTCTCTCTGCTTGTAGTTCCTATTATCCTTAAGACAAAATAGCGGCACGACACACAAGAGTAGGAGAAGGGTTTAATAAAAACGGATATCATGAAAACCTCTTGTAAATATGCTTAACATGAAAAATTCATAATGAATATCAGTATGACGCAAGAGTTAGACATACAGAAATTCAGAAAATCACTTGAAAGTTAACTTAGAGTCGCATGAACTCAAATAGAATAGAAATAGGTCAACATGAATCAGGGAAAAAGCACAAAATGAGTGATACGTTATGAGCAAAGGGCGGCCCGTGGGTCACATGCGGGCCGTTTGACTTTCTGAATGGCGCGCTTAATTTCATAGGGAATATAACGTTTCTTAAATTTTATTTTGTTTTGTTCTCGTTTGTTCACTCACACACTCTCACGTACATAACCACATACATAAATAATGATTAAGTACAATGTTTCTTGGATTTTGTAAACTTTCAAGGATAATTAACGTTGTCAGCATTTTTAACGATTGACGATTTTCTCTAAGGAAACGCATACGTGTAAACATCGTTTGCTTTTGAAACAGGAAACGTTCATAAGAATGTTTTATGTGCTTTTCGTTTTCAAATAAATAAATTAGAAATGATAGTGGCATCTAAAAGTCACACTGTCATCAGTGATAACATTATACGAAGACTTTAATTTTTTAATCATAATTTTTTTTTTTTATAAAAGGTAAAACTTTCCTACTATTTCTGTCTTTTCCTGATGTTAAGTATTAGTGTCACTTTTGTTCCCATTTTCTTTAAAACTTCGTCATTGCTGATAAGTTCGGTCCATAGTATTTTTAACATTCTTCTGTTGAACCATATTTTATGTATCTTCAAAGCTTTTCTTCATCCCTGAGGATATTTCCAGCATTTATTGCCATATAGGACGACTGATATTACATAACTTTACAATACTCTTTCCTTTGTTTCTAACAAAATTTTCCTTTTTCTTAATACTTATCTTTTAGAAGGCATCTTTCGTTCTCCTAATACGCTTTCGGATTTCGATGTTGCACTTTCCGTCCTCTGTTAAAACACTTCCCAGATATTTAAATTGTTGTACTTGTTTAATTTTGATATCTCCAATTTGTAATTTGTTCCTTTTGCTAACAACCATGCATTCTGTCTTCTTGTAATTGATGTTTAGTCCTTTCTTATCGCTTTTCTTCACTACCTTCTGTAGGAGTTTTTGAAGTTTCCTTTCTGTGTTAAGATTATGGCCGTCAATAAGGAATCCTGGTAGGACTCCCAATTCTCTCAGAATTGTCTCACTGTATAGGTTGGATAAGTTTGGGTAAAAGGCACATCCTTGTCTTACACCCCTTTCTATTTTCCTATTGATCATATTAACCCGATTAAACACAATGCGTTTTATTTTTTCTATTTTCCTATTGATCATATTAACCCGATTAAACACAATGCGTTTTATTTTTTCTATTTTCCTATTGATCATATTAACCCGATTAAACACAATGCGTTTTATTTTTTCTATTTTCCTATTGATCATATTAACCCGATTAAACACAATGCGTTTTATTTTTTCTATTTTCCTATTGATCATATTAACCCGATTAAACACAATGCGTTTTATTTTTTCTATTTTCCTATTGATCATATTAACCCGATTAAACACAATGCGTTTTATTTTTCTATTTTCCTATTGATCATATTAACCTGATTAAACACAATGCGTTTTATTTTTCTATTTTCCTTATTGATCATATTAACCCGATTAAACACAATGCGTTTTATTTTTTCTATTTTCCTATTGATCATATTAACCCGATTAAACACAATGCGTTTTATTTTTTCTATTTTCCTATTGATCATATTAACCCGATTAAACACAATGCGTTTTATTTTTCTATTTTCCTATTGATCATATTAACCCGATTAAACACAATGCGTTTTATTTTTCTATTTTCCTATTGATCATATTAACCTGATTAAACACAATGCGTTTTATTTTTCTATTTTCCTATTGATCATATTAACCTTGATTAAACACAATGCGTTTTATTTTTTTCTATTTTCCTATTGATCATATTAACCCGATTAAACACAATGCGTTTTATTTTTTCTATTTTCCTATTGATCATATTAACCCGATTAAACACAATGCGTTTTATTTTTTCTATTTTCCTATTGATCATATTAACCCGATTAAACACAATGCGTTTTATTTTTTTTTTTTTGCAGAGTTAGAACCTGTCACCTAATTTTTTTACACCGATTCCATACGGTCTTAGCTTTTAAGAAAATTAATCACCGGCTAAGAAACGCCTTGTCAAAATTGTATGGGGTGGAGAGAAACACTTTGATATGCATGAATATTGCAAATTAACTGAGCTGCTGAAATTTATCTTGGAAAATAATCTAGATGGTTTTCTTAGTGAAATTATGAAATTGATAAAAGTACTCTTGACAATTCCCATGACCACATTAGAGCCAGCGCTACAACACTAAAACAACACTAAAAAGAGTAAAAACTTTTCTAAGGAGCACTATGAATCCTGAAAGACTAAATGCACTTGCAGTGCTTTCAATGGAGAAAAAAATTCAGTCACTCAGAGATCAAGGGAAATTTTTTTAACCTTTTCGCTCAAAGTAAAATGCGAAGAATGGATTTCATTTTTAAATGAATGGATCAAGTTTGAATTGGAACGATTTATAAGTAAAGAAATAATTTTTTCATTTAGAATTCATCAAGTTTAATTATCTTTTTATATGTTTGTTTCGTTTTACACAATATTAAAACAATGACTAAAAATTTTATGAAGCAGCACCACCACTAATTTTAGCCATGAGCCACTACTGTCTGTGACGGAATATTTTTTACTATATCCAACAACTAGTTGCGTCTCCTAAACGCAGCAGAAGTCATCCACAAGACGCTGAAATTTTCAAATGAGTTTTACCTGTTTAAATCTCGGGCTTCAGATCTTTCCAGTTAAACTAGCTAATCTTAATTTCATTACTACGCAAAGTCATTGCCTACTAGGATTGATCTATTGATTCATTCATTGATTTTCTACGGTTTATCAACCCCTTAGCTAATTATTTAAAGCCAGAAAATATTTTTAGATTGTTAATTTTTTTTCTTTTGACATAATAATAGTTTAGTTATACACGTCTTACTAATTAATCCATAGCCGGGGAGGAGGAGAAGAGGTGAATTCATACATTTCCCGAAGGTACTTGCGCGTAAGTGAATGAACCCAACGTGAAATGAAACTCGGCTCTCCGATTAACAATTCAGAGCCATTATTCATTACACCACCCGTACAGCCAAGTTTACAGAACCTGGTATTCCCAAGTGGTCACTCATCCGGGTACTGACCAGGCTCAACGATAATTGACTTCGGTGATCGAATGGGAACCAGAGTTTCAACGTGATGTGGTCCAATAGAAAAAAAAAAAAACGATATCTAAAACTGTTTGTCCCAGAATATCCTCGCTTACATTTCACGGTTTTCTTCTTTTTGGGATACGATACATCGATATCTACCAGAAGTTTTACTTTTACAGTATAATACAAATCCAAAAGGATTAAACAATCCTTTTGGATTCTTCCAGTGTTTCTCTAATCTTTTGCAACAGCTCGACCATTCAGGGCAAAAATCTTGTGATTGCAATATTCAATCATTTATCTTTCGAATTAAAGAATATTCTAAAAGTGATTTTTTTTCTGTCTGCATTTCTGGAATAGTGAGTTATCATTATTTCCATTATTTACATTCGGACTATTGTCCTCATCTTTGTTGTTGTTGTTATCGCAACGTTTTGATCGTTGTGTCCTCCGGCCTTTATCAGGGGAATTTCAATCCGGGTACCCTTACAAGGAATTCCGAACTGAAACCTTTATTTAATCTACGGAGGTGGACTGTTCCACTGCTCATATCAAGGGATATCTCGTCTAGTTCTTATTTTTAGTACTGCTTAGTTGTTGCTATTGGCTAGGTCTGCTAAGGAGGTCTTCATAGACTAGCATATGCGCTGATTCTTTCAGACGTCTAAACCTGCAGTGTTCTTCCCTGTCCGGTATTTTCACTTCATTCCACAGAGGCAGATGAGTGCCCTTTTTCCTCCATACATGATCAGTCATGCCCGTTTTCATTGCATCAACTTACGGCTTTTCGATGTTCCTAAACTTTCCTATTTTCCTAGATGGCTTCACTCTTGACAAGAGTAGGACTTTATATTCAAACCTTCTAGCCTTACGAAGTAGACACATTCCATTCTTCTTGTACCGGTATTAAATATTTGCGTTTGGCAGAGAGAAGACATTTATCTCCCCCTCAGATGTAATTCCCTTCAAAATAAAGAAAAAGATCTCCCCCTCCCTCTTGTATATTACTCCTTTTTCTGGTCTTGTGTCTGGCCTCAGATCACGTCAGAATAGACTTTTCAGAGAAGCTGGATGCAAAACTAACCTGACAGATAACCACCTGACCTCCGACCTGGAGAACCACATGAAGAGTACAACTGCACTTGGATGCACGCGTGGGAAGGAGTTATACCACAGATATATAAACGAGAACTCCGAGTGGAGGAAGGAAGTCTCTCTCAGACATTGCAAACGAGAATGCAATGTCCGCGTTTCGGATGAGGGACCCAATGATGCTTGCACATACTGTCAGAAGTGATTAAGTCTCGTGTTATCATCACTGACTGCATGAGGATTTCATTACATGCTTATTTGCTGTAATTTACTAGATCAATGTGTAGTATCTGTTCTAAGAGGGTTAACTTATTAAAACTTCAACAAAAAAATTAGGAAGATGGATTATCATTTCTTTTCTTTTTTTGACGACGCCTTGCTAGAGTAAGATTACAACACCAAAAAAAAGAGAACACACTTATACAAAAAAAAAACAAAAACAAAAAAAAAAACGAAAAATAAAAATGCCAAGATACCAACAAAGGCGAGAAACAGCAGAGAGTAGTAAAATGAAATTAGGTGGTTTTTGTCTGTTCTACTCCAGTCGGAGCAAGACAAGGAAGTCACCTCTATAAGAGCAGGTTCGAAAGACAACCAGGAACGGAAGGAAACAGATTAAGTCAATCTGAGACCAAAGAGACAACCTTACCAAGATAAGAAATCATTCCAGTTGAGTGAGCCAAAGTTACATCCGATAACCAAAAATTTAGGTTGATAGGAGGCCAACTAAATCTATTATAACGAAATGGCCAATAAATACGAGTTTACTGACAGTGTCTGAATAAATAAAGCCACTCCACCCAAATTAATCCCGATCACCAAAGACAGACCTGCCAACCAAACCAGGGCTAACAATAAATCGGCGAGAAAGTGAAAGTCTGCCGAAGTGACAAAGACCTGCAGTGGATATACGCAAAATGGTAGATCTCTCTTAGAGCTGCCAAAAACAACAGGCTTGTCCCACCAAATGAAACCATCGACCCAAAAGAGAACCGGAAGTGGATACACCGGCACGTGTCGCGCTCTAAAGGATGCTAATCTACAAAAAAAAATATTTCCAAAAAATTTTTCCCATTTCTTTTTTTTTTAACGAGTGGACCAGTCTATTTAAGTTGTGCCGGTTCATGTTATTGGTTAGGCTATATTCGAGTCACAAATGGGTAGCGGCTTGAAAACTTCAATGACTTGTTTGCTTATAAGGAAGAGACATTCATTAGAATATATACGTTTCTGTGTGGTGCATGAAAGTAACTATAACCATGGCACAGAGATACCTCGGCGTGATTTGAAGCACTCGGCAAACGAAGCAACTCAAACACTTGTACCCACTAAAAACAACGTTTACGGTTTACCTTAATAACGACCTTATCTATTATTAGTTTAAACATTGACAAAAGATACAGTTCAGATGTAATAGAAAGAAATGAATCCCGTGAGTTTTGGTTAAAGCGATAAGCTTAATGTTCATAAAAAAAATACTGGAATTGAAGAGTGATCGCGTAAGGAACGCTTCTCTGATTAAGTTAGACATGTCTTTCTACTAGCTTAGTGAGTGAATGAAGATTCTGTCTATACATTTTTTCTTTCTATTAATTCTTTCAATTTTTTTAAACTCCTATTCTTTTTCGTATCTTCCCAACTTTCTAGTCTTTTAATGAGAATGTCACTTGTTTTGATAGTTACTGCCCAAATTCATGCACATTTTCAACAAGTGGGGGGAACTAAAACACTACTTATTAAATTTTTAAATTTACAAAAAATAAGGAAATTATCAGATTTCATTGAAATTTTCCGCATTTATTCATTAATGAATTAACTTTACATTAGATTTTTCTTTTAAGCTTTGTGAGACTATTTTCAGGTCAGTTATAACCCCTCCCACTTTCAATTAATCTTTACTAATGAATTTTACAGGTTCCTAATTTTTTTTGATTTTCATAAAGATCATTAAAGAAAACTAATATCGACCATGAACACATTTAAATACGAGTTCGAAATATTCAGAAAAGAGTTCAATAAAACTCAAATTATTTGGGGGGGCACTTGGGAGTCGAGATTTTTCTGCGGAGGAGTGGGGAAGGATTCAAGCAACATCTTTATTTTCATACTGCACCACTATCGTATGCACAATTTAGGAATGAGTTTTAGTATAAGTAAGTTACTTCACTAAATTAGACGGAATAACTTTTCATTCATAGTAGTGGAGTTCTAATCTATTCTTGCCCTCTTTTTCCACTCTCAAGCTGTTGGGCCACAAGAGAGGTTAACTCCAAAACAAAATCAAAGGGTTAACGTCAATACTAGCAGAACAGTGTAATTTGGCTGCTTTGATTTTTTCCTCTAAAAAAAAAAAATCTTAAAGTGGTGAGGACATCTGCGCATGGAGAATCGCCACTGCTGATACCCAATTTTAATAAAATACCATATATTTTTGGTTTTTGAAGGAAAAAAAATATGTAAGGTATATCTATTTGCAAATAATTGACTTGTTTTACAATTCAATTTTAAAGCTCTTTCAGACTTTAGATGTTGCTAAAAATGTTAATAATTAAGGTATGTTTGAAAAATCGAAAAATGTTATCACGCGTTGTAAATATCCTGGTCTATTTATTTCATGGGAATATTTTCTGTCTATTGTGATTAAACAGTAAGGCCCACAGTGAGGATCGAACTCGCTGAATGGTAATGTTTAACTAACAAGACTTTGTCGATAACAAAGGTGCCATGTGTTCTGCTTGTAGCTAATAAATGAATTTGACAACATATGGGTGTCGTGATATGACATCATAGAACTACCGGTCACTTCCTGTTTCAAATCCTTCCCGCCTAAATTAGTCACGTGACCACGCTATGTTAGCCAATTGCTAACTGACTCGCAAACAGTCCGCATGTGTTTTCTGCTAAACTCCGAAAAATGTATCTATTTACTATTACGTTTTATTTAACCATTATAACATTAGCTCAATAATGCTGTCTTACTACGTTAGAGTATTTCGCCGAAAAAGAAATACTCATCACCAAAACAACGTCAGAAACTGTAACTGCTGGAAGATTTTTATTCAAGATAGTGGCCATATTCATTTATTTTTGAGGTAAGTTAATTCTTTACTTCCGTTTATAACTTATCATTCATTTAGCATCACATAAATTTTAGGAACGAGGTTTTCCGAATTTACGTTGTGTACACTCGTCTTATATCCGTTCTTCTTCTTCTTCCTTTCTTTTCCAAAAAAGACACCTGATGTTTCGTAACTTTTTGTATGTGTGAGTCGGTTCTTTTCACTCTTTGCCGTTTGTTACTGAAAGCTTCTACTCGAGTAAACATAGGTTTACTCGAGTAGAAGCTTTCAGTAACAAACAAGAATTTGTTATATTTTTCTAGAGTAGGAATATTTTTTAATGGAAATTCTATTCCTGAAATTGGGGGGGGGCAGTAAAATTTAGACTTTCATTCGTTAATAGGTTCAAATATTCTTCTTTTATATCTTGTGCAAAAAAAAAAAAACCCTGGTCTCCGAGAATGCCTTCTAAGTGTAACTACGACGTACTGGTCGATTTTCTAAAAAAAATAAATTTTAATCATGGTTATTTTCATCTACGAGAGATCTAAATTTTTGAAAAAATATTACCAATGACTTTTCATACCGTTTTTCTTCCTGGTCTCCGACTGATGGATAAAAATGCAAATCCTGTCTATTGCAGTGTGGCATATCCCTTACATCTTAAGGAACAAGATTGATAAGGAACTTGTAAGACTAGTAGATGAAGATATTATTTCTCTCCATGGCCCACTCTGCCGCCACTGTTCATGTCTAGAAGTATGAAAATTTGATCAAAATTTGTAGTTATTTCAAGTTGACCGCCAACAACTCTATTAAAATTGACGGATACCCTATTCCGCTACAACAGAATTTGTTTGCAAATTTTAATATTTTAAACTTTATACACTGTAAAAAATTAGA